GCCGGGGCGCTGCGGGGCGCCTGCCAGCCCGGTGCCCGGCGCCGCGCCCTCGCTCGCAGCCCGACGGCCGGCGCTGGGGAGCGCTGCGCAGCCCGCGGGCCGAGCTGTCATGAAATGCCTTCTTGGGGTACCCCAGCGGAGCCCTCGGTAGCCTTGGGAAGAAGCGTTTTCAGTTTCAGATGATGCGATTTCAGAAGAGTTCAGTTTTTAATAGACTAGGAGAGTTATAAAAGCCTTTGCGAGCCATCTTTCTTGGAGTCATACACATAAATTTTTTTTAATGGTTTGAATTATGAGATATGAATTCTCTTGTGTATTTTAAAAGGTATAGTTTCTTCTTAAGATATGTTAGATGTTTACGGTAGGATCATGCATCTTTAAGGGATGTTGAAATTCTCTGTGAAGTGCTCTACAAATGATCTGGCGAACTTCTCAAGGTAACCAACAGGTAGATCGTCTGAATTAAAGCAGACTTTCTGAACTCTAGTATTATGAAATCTTTGCAGAGCTGTTCTGATGACCTTGTGGTCACTTTCAGTTTTGGTGGTCTCCAAGTTTCAGAATGGGATTTTTATTTATTTGAAATGGCAGAATCTTTATTTTGAGCTTAGATGGCTTTTGAAAACATGGAGATAAAGTTGATGCGCACACATTCATAGCGCATTGACGTGAGTTTTTTATCCTCTGAAAAAGTACTAGTGTCGCTAGTAGATACTACAGATACTGTACTGCTTTATCTCACCATACTAAGTCATCTTAAGTTTTTAAAAACTAAGATTAATGTTGAACTTTTTTATAGCCATGCAAGAAACGGCGAGAGGAAGATACTTCCATAAAAACAATCACAAGATATTTTTCACCATTAGCAAAACCAGTGGATAAAGCGTTGTCACCACCAAAACCCAACAATATATTGGATTATTTTAAAAAGACATCTGTAACTGAGAAAACTACATTACCAGTTGTAGCTGGAGAAAATAAACCACCATTGGATGCTGATGACAAAGACTGTAAGTCACCTTTTAAACCACCTTTAAAGCGGAAGAGGAAAGGGAAGAGAGTTAGTTTAAATAATAAGCTAAGAGAGATGAAAGAATCTGAGAATGAACATGAAATAGAAATTAGTAGTGATGACAGCAGAGAAACAACAGGACTGAAACAAGACAGAACTGATTTTAT